TCTCAAATTGATATTAAACATGACATTAAAGCTACACTGAAATATTAATTCTTTAAACTATAACCCATTGCAAATTATGCCCAGGTATGTTGTACAACATATTAACAATACAAGGTAAGAAATGTTGGGTGAGATGGATGAAAGGGGTCAATATGTACAAACTTCCAGTTATGTGTCATATAGATATAATGTACAGCAATGTGACTCTAGTTAATAATATTTTATTGCATATTGAAAGCTGATAAGAGAGTAGAGCTTAAAAATTCTCATCACAAGAAAAACTATGAATGATGATGAATATTAACTGGACTACTGTAATCATTTTGTAATATATGCAAAATCAAAATATTGCACACCTGAGACTAAATAATATTATATGCCAACTATATACTTCAATAAAAAGAATATTATTTTTTGAAAATAAAATGAAAGTTATTTTTTTCAGACCTTCATTCTCCTGACTTCACATCTCCTAGTGACTTCTATAATTGGTGAGTTTGAGAGGATGGACGTATGAGAAACCTTTTGAGTTGTTTCTTGTATTTATCTCTTTTAGGCACAATCTAATCAACTTTAAGACAGAGTAAACTTTGTAGGCAAGTGATACTTGCCCCTATCAGGGAGGCTTGCAGTTGTATCCAGCTCTGCCTGTGATTGGGTGAAGTATGAGGAAGTACTTGTGGCCTCAAAGCTAAGCATGTCCTCCAAGCCAGCTTTATCAATTATAAAGGAAATATTTTGACCTCCATTTGTGTCATTATTGTGCCTGTCCCTCAAATGGTTAAAAACTTGCAAGGAGAAAAGGCGCTTTATTTATTGGCCTTTTGGAACCTCAACCCAAACATTATGTTGAGCTGTGGAACAATTTCAATCTGCAAGGGAAGGAGCAACCATCATAGATATGCCTTGGCCTGGCATTATTTCTTCAAGATAAATAGAGGACCTGGATAATTAGAGGATGTATTGTCATCTCTAAGACATGAAAGGAAACTTTTGGTATTCCAAATATTTGTAGGTGCCTCCAGTAATAACCTGGAAGAAAGGGTTGGGAGATTTTGACAGTATTCCTTTAAATGTAATGCATGCCCAAACCAAGACTGATTGTGTGACTCACATTAGTAATTAATCACTAGTACCATACACACCTCCATTTTAACTCAGAAAGGAAAATATCATCTGGGCTTGGGGAAGGAGGATGGAATGTTATTTAGGCAATGCACTTAAAACAATGCTACATTACTATAGGTATCTTTACTAATAAGAAAATTCAAGACCTGTCCAAAACCTGCCTCCTTTTGAAGAGTCAGTTAAATTCTTTACTAACTGATTTAAACTGATGATAAACCCTGTTGGGGGTACCTTATGCCCTTTATCACGAGAGCAACTATCAGTTCTTATCTGGTTACAATAGAAGGACTAGGGAACATTCCAAGGAGGTGAAGCAAAAGTCGGAATGTATATAGGCTTTCTTGGACAGTTTCTAATTCTCACGTCATCAGCATTACCTATTCAGTTTAAGGAAGAAAGAGCCCTAATGCCTCATCTATTCTTTCACTTGGGAAATTGTGTGGCTCAAGGATATCAGGAAACTTAATATTATAAGTGGCATCTCTTATATTTCCCTTCAAGCAAATATCTTGTCTAAGGGCAAATCAGGAATGCTACACTATACTGTAAAATATAGCAAGAGAGACCAATTTTGGGCTTTCCTGGTAGCTCAGTGGTAAAGAATCTCCTGCCAATGCAGGAGATGTGGCTTTGATTCCTTGGTCAGAAAGATCCCCTGGAGTTGGAAATGGCAACCCATTCCAGTGTTCTTCTCTGGGAAACACCATGGACAGAGAATCCTGGTAGGCTATGGGGTCTCAAAAGAGTCACACGACTTAGCAACTGAACAAGACAAAATTCACATTACATATAATGGTGCCAGACTGCTTGAAACCATATCTGTTATCTGGATTATTGGAAAAGTCACCAATTGATCTCACATTTTCAGTTTGCACACCATTACAGACTACTCTCAAGTATTGTCACAACAAAAAATGCTGAGCCTCTGCTGAAAATAACTGAATGGTTCCCCATCACACACAGCGTAAAAGTCAAATTCCATTCTTCTCCCAGATCGGCATCACTTCTATAAACTCATTTCCATCATATTCTCTACCTTGCTCACTCAGTTCCAGCCATGTTGGTATTCTCAATATGGCTTGAAAATGTCAGGCCTACTCTTGCCATGGGTCTCAGCACTTGCTGTCCCTCTTGCTCCAATGCTCCTTCCTTGGACAACCACAGGGGTAGTTCTCTCAGTGCCTTCAGGTCTTTACTATCAGTGAGGCTCTCTCTGGATTCCCTATCTATCCAGTTTCAGCCTCCTCCCTTGAAATCCAGTTCCCCCATTCCTTGCTTTATTTTTTCTTTCTTAACATTTATCAGTGTGAAAATACTTTATATTTTACTTTTTGTCTCGTGGCTACTGTCTGTCTCTTACACTACAGTGAAAGTTCCGTGAGGGTAAGACTACTTTATCTTTTTTATGACCATATCCTAAGCTCCTGTGTAGAAGACTGCCTGGGATTGGTGAGATGAAGATAAAGCAAATAAAATAAAAAGCAAATGGGGTTAAAGTAAGACAAAGAAGGGCTAAGCTACCAATGCAAATGCTTCCAGGGGATATCTGGGCATTTTATAAGAGTGAAGCAGGCCATCTGGGGGCATGGCCCACTCGAGAGAATATTCTGAGTTTAAAATGGGCTGAGACCTTCCTCAGAGTCAACTGCTTGGAATTCCTTGCTGGAATGTGGACCCTCATCCCTTGATCTATTGTTTGTTTTCTCAGGCAAGCCAGGAATATAGATTTTTGAAATGTGAAATCCCCCAAATGTCTATACAGCTAATTTTAAAATGGAGAATGATAAAAATATGAAGATCAAGCAAAATATGACAGTGGGCTGAAATTGGTCCATGAGTGGCCTCTAGGTATTTGCTAGATTGAATTATGTGATGTATGAAAGAAAACCTATCCCTGCTCTGGTGAGGTGGGTTTATCTTGTGGAATTCTTGAGCCAAACAGCTTCAGATCATGTTGGGGGAGAGAATGAACTGGAATTACCAACTTCTTTCCACTCCGGGAAGCTCCCTGCCTCCCCCTCTGCCTGTTATGCCTGGAGTTATTAGGCAGAAGAGACACCAGAATTGTTTCTTTGAGGCCAGTGAAGAGTGTGAAGTAGGAAAACCAGAGAGAGTTTAGAAGTTTTTTCCACAGCTGTACTGGGAGAAGGAAAGAAAGACAGAAGGACAAAGACCCATGTATTGGGACACCATACTTCAAAGGGAATTTATTGGGAGTTACCACACTCTCTTCCCACCAATCACCTATGTGGCGCAATACAGTCGAAGGACTTAGTTATACAAAGTCACATCTCCCCATTCAACTGCCCATGCCACCTATCTCACCTGGAAATAGAACTGCACACATTTCCAGCACAGTTCCCTGTGTGCTTGAAGTGGGCAAGACTAGTCAGGAGGTACCTGTGAAGGGTCAGTAGGCACTGGTTTTGTTGGGATATTGCCAGAATGGGGTTTCTGGAGGCAGCAGACATCCATCTGGTGAAACACAGGCTGGGGGGACAGGGGCGGGATACCTGTGGTTTCAGGCAGGGGCTGAGAGATGGAGAGTCAAGTATTCCCCATGACCTGGAGAGAAACATTAAACTCAATCCTTTGTTGCCTCTCTTCTGTAAGGAGGCAAGGCATAGCCCTGGAGGATGAAGAACAGTGAGATGAGTGCAGTATCTGGGTCAAGCAAGTTTCCATTTTTCTATATAAAATGCTTTCCATATGCAAGGTGTCACATCTCTTATGTTCTGAGAACTCCACTAACTCATTCCTGAAAAAACCCATTTATTCAGTGTAGGGGAAGTGAACCAAGAACTTCAGGTCTGAGATTTACTGCCCTGGGTCCTCTGGAAAGTACGAGGAAACTGCCCACAGACCCCTGCTATGGAGCACCATGCATTGTGTTTAAGCTGAGGGCTGGGCTCTGCTCAGCAGATGTGGCATGATGTCCCTGACATAATAAAAGTCTTTTAAGTATAAACTTGGTTCCTGCTTAACTCTTGAGACAGTCCTGTCAAAATTCCCCTCTAGGGAGGCTCCAAACATGTGGTTTGTTTGTTGCCACATCCTTTGTGCACAGAGCTAGAGAGGGCAACTTGGATACTGCCAGAGGGCCTGGTTTTCTTGGGTCTTTCCGTCTCTCACCGGCTCCACACCTCATACCCCCTTTTCTCTATTCTCACTCCCTCTGTCAGTCTTCCTTCTTAGAATTCCTCCTTCCTCAGTATCCCTTCCCTTCCGGAGTATCCCCCTAGACTCTCCTCAGATCTCTGCCAACTTTGTCCTTCTCTCCATTGCTCTGCACCTCTTCTAAACGCCTTTGTGCCCCTCCTTACTCAATTTATCCTGTCCATTTTCCTCTCAGCCCCAAGATTTCACTCTCCCTCTGTTATTCTTCACCCTCTTCCAGTTAGCTGCCTCCCACTCTTAGGTCATCCCTCCCCTTAGGAGCCTCTCCATTTCCAGTCCCTTCCCACCTCCTTTCTTAAGCAGCCACCTTCCCTTTCCCTTTTCCCCACAGCCCATCTCTAGTTCATTCTCCTCTCCTCTCCCTAACCCAAACCAGCTAAGTCCTATTCCATGTTTATTTGACTGATTATGATACTAGCTGAAATTTATTCACAGCCTAATTTTACAGCTGCTCCTTCCTTTCATGTTCCATCCGCCAAACACACCCAACCTTTTCAACATGACAAATTCCTTACACACAGCATGTCATGACCACATACATTTGTATTTCTTAGAACAAGACAATAGTTATGCTGGCAAAGATGTTGAATCAACATGGACCCTAAAGTTTTCAATACACTGAAAAGTAACATCATCTTGCATGTCTACAAAGTACACATTTGTTTTCACAAACGTGGCAAAGTTTATCGTGACAGTTAGGACTTTTTCACCAAATCATAGACATAGATATGGAAATCATCATCAAACTTGATGAAATACACAGAGGGTTTGGCTTCCACTTGGTGAATGACCATTCCGATCCGTTTGGAGCCATCTTCTTTGGTATATTCCACATGTTTACCTATCAGACCATCTACAACTCCTCCTGGCTCCCTTTCTGCAAGAGGAGACTCACTGGACTCTGGCATGATACGGAGGTCTCCTTCTTTATAATCATCTAGAAGTTGGTACATGTACAAGACAGGATCTTTCTCATAGGTAATGTAAAACCAGGCTTTCATGATCGGTGCTTGGGCTAAGACCATTCCTCTCCATTCATCCTTAGAACCATGCTCATCCTCAAACATATGTTCCACAGCTTTACCAATTATGGTATTTGCAAGGTTTGCATCACTGACTTGAGTTGATGCCACCCTGTCAGAAAGAATTTTAAGAGACAAAACTCTTTCATCTCTGTGAAGTTCCAGTCCATAGACACAGTCAATTCCATCATATTTCACCAGATAAAGAGAAGGATTTATAGGCACCTGATCCAGAACGGTTCCTTTCCACTGAGTGATGGGTTCATCACCTTCCTTCCATCCATGTGAAATTCTGCAGCCCACAATGTTCCTGCGGGGCTGGGAGGAAGGTCTGCCTCTCTGCTTCTTTTGGGAGGCTTTTTTCTTCATCATGTTTGCAGACCCAGTGGCCTTTCCTGCAACAGCCCTGGTTTGCTGCCCTTCAGCCTCCTGTGAGTTGGGGGTTTTCATGTCTGCAGGAGGAGGAGAGAAGATAAGAGAGGAACATTCAATATGCCATAAGGTGAAGTTCTGCCGACAGCGACGTCTCCATGTGCCCCGCGCCAGCGCCTAAAATTTCCCCATGAGCCTGGCAGTAATGCTGGAAATCCTGGCTGTGTGCCTGAAAGCGCTCTCCCTTCTAGGTACCCTGAGGCTGCGGTGAAAGGCGGCAGCGGCAGCGGCAGCGGCAGTGGTGCTGCCTGGAGTTAGGAACTCTGCAGGAGGGGGCAGACTACGTCCTTGTTCAGAGACCTCAGCCTCCGTCACCGCCACTGGCGCCCACTCTGAATCCCCTGCAAAACCCCTATCCCTCCACAGCCCTGACCCACATGCCCTCACTCACTGTCGTCCTGCTCAGAACATCCCAGTAGTCTGCTACTCACATGCCCTCTGTCTACCTCCACTCGCTTTCTTGGCCCCCAGTGCCCTCGCCTCCCTGTGCTCATCTTCAATGTCTTGCCTGCTTCCTAACGCTATGTCCCTTTCCTATTGCCCATTGCACTCCCACTTCCCACCCTATCCTCACCTGGCGTCTGCCTCCACCCCTTATCTCTGGCAGGAATCCATCCCACTCCCCTTCTCTGTCCTGGCGCCCACCAATGGCCTTTCCTTTCCTGGCGTTCACCGCCCGGATCTCAGGCTTCACGTGTGCAAATCGGACACCTCGCAGCTTCCTTTTCGGTGAGTCTGTGTGTAAGCAGGATAGGCAGGCGATGAGCTGGGTGCTTGCAAGAGCTGGGAGGGGAGGATCGTTCAGGGAGGAGCTAGTTCAAGAGGGCGGGACTTGGGTAGGTGAGGAAGTAGTGGTGTTTTGAGAGCTGTATTCTGCCTCCTTGTTGGTGGTGGTTCTCCCCTCTGAGACATATGCCTCCATCAGCTGCTATTGATGCTGTATTTTCTCCCCTCTTTCTGTACAGGACTGGGATCTTATTTTCTTGTTAATGAAGTGTGACCCCTTTTCTTCTCAACCCTATGCTGCCATCATCCCTTGCCTTGGAGGCACTATAAGCTGCTACTCTCCTTCCAAATTTAAATCTCTGGAAATGATAGGTAGTCCTTTCCTCTGCAGGTTCTCTGAACCCCGTCAGATTCTCTAACTCTAGCCCTCAGCTGCCCTGTTATAATGCCTCTTCATTTTCCACAGATTCTTAACATTTTTTCGACACACAAAATTCATGCAACACATATATGGGTACAGAAATCCTTATATTCATACACATATTTGTGTGCATACATATTTTTCTATGTATTTCTGAAATTCATTTTCAAATATACATAATCTTAAATACACACCTCTATCCAATCACATAACACATAGACATTTTTGGTATACAACTACACAGATATACATATAATAAAAATTTCTCCAAAGCAGATGTAGCATTTTGTTGTGTTAGAGAGGGCTCTTGAGAGTTAGGAGACCAAACCATTCAATCTCAAAGGAAATCAATATTGAATATTCGTTGGAAGGACTGATGCTGAAGCTCCAAATAAGTAGAATAGGCATTGTGTAATTAAAAAAAAGATTTTTTTAATTGCTTTTATTTTTAAACTCATTTTATGTTAATTGGAGTATAATTAGTTTACAATATTTTGATGATGTTTTGCCATACATCAACATAAATCCACCATGGCTATACATGTATCTCCCCAATCCTGAATCCCCTCACACCCCTTCCCCACTCTGTCTCTCTATGTTTTCCCAGAACACTGGCTTTGGGTGCCCTGCTTCATGCATCAAACTCGCACTAGTCATCTATTTTACATACGGTAATATATATGTTTCAATGCTATTCTTTCAAATTGGTCAGAATGGCCATCATTCAAAGCTGTACAAACAATAAATTCTGGAGAGGGTGTGGAGAAAAGGGAACCATTTTACGCTGTTGGAAGGAATGCAAACTGGCACAGCCACTATAGAGAACAGTGTGGAGATTCCTTAAAAAACTGGAAATAGAACTGCCATACGACCCAGCAATCCCACTGCTGGGCATACACACTGAGGAAACCAGAATTGAAAGAGATACATGTCCCACAATGTTCATCACAGCACTGTTTACAATAGCTAGGACATGGACGCAACCTAGATGTCCATTGGCAGATGAATGGATAAGGAAATCGTGGTACATATACACCACAAAATATTACACAGGTATAAAAAAAATAATGCATTTGAATCAGTTCTAATGAGGTGGATGAACCTGGAGCCTATTACAGAGTGAAGTAAGTCAGAAAGAGAAACACCAATATGGTATATTAATACATATATTAATGTATGTTAATTAATATAGAAATTAGGAACATAGAAAGACTGTATAGGAATTTAGACATATAGGACTTTAGAAACACTGTAATGACAATCCTAAATGCAAGGCTGCAAAAAAGTGAAGTAAAGTGAAGTTGCTCAGTCGTGTCTGACTCTGCGACCCTGTGAACCATAGCCTACCAGGCTCCTCTATCCATGGGATTCTCCAGGCAAGCGTACTGGAGTGGGTTGCCATTTCTTTCTCCAGGGGATCTTCCCGACCCAGGGATCAAACGCGGGTATCCTGCATTGCAGGCAGACGCTTTACCCTCTGAGCCACCAAGTTAACATTTTTTTATTTTTTTAATTTAATTTTTATTTTATGCTGGGGTATACTTAATTTACAGTGTTTGTTTCAAATATACATCGAAGTGGTTCATTTACACATACATTTATCCATAATTTTAAAGAACAAATTTTTGGACTAGGTGGGAGAAGGTGAGGGTGGGATAATTTGAGAGAATAGCATTGAAACATGTATAATATCACATGAAAAATAGATAACCAGTGCAATTTTGATGCATGAAGCAGGGCACTCAAAGTCGGTGCTCTGGGACAACCCAGAGGGATAGGGTGGGGAAGGAAGTGAGAGGGAGTTTCTGGATGGAGGGACACATGTGCACCCATGGCTGATTCATATTGATGTATGGCAAAAACCACCACAATATTGTAAAGTAATTATCCTCCAATTAAATTAAATTAATTAATTTAAAAAAGAAAAACTGATACTACTGTTTTAAAACTGTGATAAAAGAAAGTCTTATTTGACTTTTAATGTTAGGGACCAGTACAGAGTCCCTTTTTGCCCATTTAACATTAAGTAGTGTAGTAATATCAAATCCTGTTTCAATGCTATTCTCTCAAATCATCCCACCCTCTCCTTCTTCTACTGAATCTAAAAGTCTCTTCTTTACGACTGTTTCTCCTTTGCTGCCCTTTATGTTGGATCATAGGTACAATCTTTCTGAATTCCATAAATATGCGTTATTTGTCTTTCTCTTTCTGACTCACTCAATGAACGTGAGTTTGAGCAAGCTCCAGGAGATGGTGAAGGGCAAGGAAGCCTGGCATGCTGCAGTCCGTGGGGTCACAAAGAGTCAGACACAACTGAGCAACTGAGCAATAACAACAAAAGGTTAAAGTTTCCAAGCTGAAAATAGCACATTATTTTTGTGTGTGATTCCAATTTGTTATAGATCTTTCTAGTTCTACATAAAGTGAGATTTATTTTTATCTTGTTTGTATTTTTTGTTTCTTATAGTTTTTTCTACAATATCCCATAATTCTTTAAAATGTCAATATTATGGTGTTATATAAGTAGAAAAGCAATCTCAAGCTCATTTTTGTTAAAAAGTAATTTATTGGGTAATTATTTGAATAATCTAATAAGTGTCAGATTCAGTTCAGTTCAATCACTCAGTCATGTCTGACTCTTTGCGACCCCATGAACCACAGCACACCAGGCCTCCCTGTCCATCACCAACTCCCAGAGTCCACCCAAATCCATTTCCATTGAGTTGGTGATGCCATCCAACCACCTCATCCTCTGTCGTCCCCTTCTCCTCCTGCCCTCAATCTTTCCCAGCATCAGGGTCTTTTCAAATGAGTCACCTCTTTGTATCAGGTGGCCAAAGTATTGGAGTTTCAGCCTCAACATCAGGCCCTCCAATGAACACCCAGGACTGATCTTTAGAATGGACTGTGGATCTCTTTGCAGTCCAAGGGACTCTCAAGAGTCTTCTCCAACACCACATTTCAAAAGCATCAGTTCTTCAGTGCTCAGCTTTCCTTATAGTCCAACTCTCACATCCATACATGACTACTGGAAAAACCATAGTCTTGACTAGATAGACCTTTGTTGGAAGTGTCAGATTAGGCTTACTCTAAGTGTTCAGTGTTATGGGCTGAATTGTTTTCCCTAGAAATTTGAATGTAGAAGTCTTCACCCCCAGTACCTCAGAATGTGAATATATTTGGAATTAGGGTCTTTGCAGTAGTATAGTGAAATGTGATTGCAAGGTAGGCTTTAAAGTGATATAACTTGTGTCCTTATCAGAACAGATTATAAATCATGGAAGAAAGACCATGCGAAGATAGAAAAGATGACCATCTCCAAGGCCAAAGAGAGAGATTTCAGAAAAGAATCAACCCAGCCAACACCTTGATCTTGGACTCATAGCCTCCAGAACTGTGAAAAAAATAAATGCATGTTGTTTAAGTCACTGAATCTGTAGTACTTTTTATGACAGCACTAGTAGGGCTTCCATGGTGGCTCACTAGTAAAGAATCCATTTGCCAAATCAGGAGATGCAGGATTGATCCCTTGAATAAGGAAATGGCAACCCACTTCAGTATTCTTGCCTGGGAAATCCCGTGGACAGAGGAGCCTGTTGTTCTAGTCCATAGCGTCTGAGCTTGTGGACTTTTTTTTTTAAATCACCATTTGGTTTCTTACAAAGCTACTTTTCTTGATAACATTTTGGCAGGAAAGTACTATTCAAGATAGCACAATTTTTTTTTACACTACTTAGACTTCTAATAACTCAGCTTTTGTTGCAGTGAATGACTCAATGGCTAGAAGTCACAGAGCCTTGAAGAGGGGGCCATTCTAGAGCTGTTCTTTGTGCATAACTCTAGGTTTAAGCTGTGAAGAAAAGGTTGCATA